CGCAGATTCTTTTTTGCATTCACCGTAAGGCCAACTTGTCCTTTTACTTTCCTCGAGCTGCTCTCTGCTAATTTCACCAATTAAGTTCAACGATATAGAGGATCCGCTGCATTTTCCTTTCGCATTATCAGACAGCCCCCAAACGACATTTAATTTAATACGAGAGGATTCACTCGGTTCGTTACTCAAAATCTCCCATTGCCACGGCACGTGTCTTTCGGCCTCTACGCAAAACTAAATCAATCAATAAATCAATTACGGTTACATTCGGCATTAGTGTTGTAATCTTGGGGTAGAATTTATATTTACCTTAAATATGCGTTCACCAGGCACAATCTTGGTCGCTTTAAATTTAATCACATCCGACAACCAGCTAGTGGCTTCGTATAATACAGCTATATTCCATTGATGAAGAATTTGCGAAGATTGTAGGTCGTGATGTGTCAAAGATAAAATATGACGATTTTCACTTTTCAAGTATTCCAATCTTGTCTAATAAAAAACACTCAATATTAAGAATGTAATAAACATTGTAATATATATAAGCAAAATGTACTTGATGGCGGTTTTTCTCTTTTTGAATCTGTGAACATAGAAACGAAGCTGCCTTTTTTTACATGATTCCATACAAATGTACATCCTACCTGAGACGGTCCAGATTTGAGTGCCTCGATATAAGCAGCTAATCCGCAGCTACCTTTTGGTGGCACATAAGTGAAGTAATCCAAGAAATGCAGTCCAATTAAGGCAAACTTTATACTTGGCCACATTCTACTATTTTCAAAATAATGACTGATTTAAGATTTATATATATTTTTGTACTATATTATATAATAGAGAGAGAGAGAGAGAGAGAGAGAGAATGATAAAAAAATATATATTGCTGTATCTCTAATCATATTGATAGAATAATGAAAACTGAAAGTTAATACTGTAAATAAAAATGAGTAAGAAAGATATTTAAAAAATCATGATAATGGGCAATGTCTATAAAGACAAACGCGAACAGAGATGACTTATATAACAAAATTTATTAAGTAAAAAGCGCAATTAAATAAATGCATTCTAGATAAATTTTCAAAATTGTCTCCATTGAAAGTAAAGCCTTATATGAACAAATTTTATATTGTATATTTTTACTATACTTTTATCTTTTTTCATGTAGAATTATTACTTTTCTGATTATATTACGTATTACGAAATACAATGTATATACAGATAAATATAGATAACTGTAAATGGTACATTACTGATAATTGCTTCGATGAGAAGACCAAACGTCATTAATTAATGTTTCACGCGATATCATGCTTTCGCAATCAAATATCTTTACTTGTAGTCGATCACCCAATTCGGGAAGTCCAACGTTAAGAATATTCACCGTCTATATAAGAGAGGAAAAAAAAGAAAAAAAAGTGATATATGTATATATATATATATATATATATATATATATATATATATATATAAATTAACCAATATAAATTTAAATAACAAAAATAAAATTTTAATAACAAAAGAGATACCATATATACGAAAATAACTATACCTGCAGATTAGAAGATGGCGACTTTACAACTGTGTGCGATACAGAGCATGAACGACAAACTCGATCCAACTTTGATCGAACATTGGCACCTCTAATGCTCGTGAGCGTTTTAGCGTGTACTGTAATTCCTTTCTTAAGACGGTCTGCAACGCAATTTTTAGAATGCAAAGATAAGTTAAGTAGAATACTCGCAAAATTAACAATTTTTTTTTCTAAATATGTAAGGTCTTATTTATAAAAAGAAACTACGATTTATAAAAACTACTTTCTCAACTTTCTATTAAATACATCAATCAAAATTGAAGATTGCAAAATTGCCCGTTTCAACCCGTTAACAAAATAGGATTGATACCTCCTAGGGTGTCGTATGAAATAAATGGCCGTTCGTCTAATCCAAGTGTAATGTTAATAGGAAGATATCCGTGTAGCGACTGAACTCTTTCAGCGCTATGCCACAAATCAACCAGCGGATTATAATTTTCTATTGTTTCAATGCCGTGAACAGATGTGCTAAAAAATATATCGACATAGATAAATTTATAAACCTATATATAGAAAACTACAATTATTTCTAGATAAATAAACATGTGAAATAAATATGTAAAATATAATCTTACCGCAAAATAATATGATTATATCGTCCAGGAAAATTACGCGTAAAATTTCCTCTCATTGAAAACAACGACGTTCCCGTCATTGCGAGTCTAACATTGGTACCGAAATCGGTCACTTGCAATGATTCTAATGATAACGGCACATTTATACGTTGTTGATTAACGTGAAACTCCATGTTATAATACGTTTGATATATATTATCCGATAAAGAAGACAAGTCTAGAAAATTAAATACGCAAATGATGTAACATTATTACAGTCGCGATTATGAATTATTACTTACACTTCAACCCCTCAACTATGTTTGTTTCATTCCAGTGAACGCACAATACTGTTTTTTCTTGAATACGTGTAATTATTTCTAAATGCACAGGACCTTTTTTGCGCTCATCCAATTTAAATTCCTTCAAAATATCTTTTATATACGTCGGATTTTCAAAAGAAGTCGCTAATGAGTGGAAAATACCCTCTGCTTTGATATATAACTAATGGTCGCACCAAAAGAAAGATAGTAATTAAATCGATTAATATTTAAAAGTAATGCAAATATTCTTGCTTTGAAAAATATATACTTACAGATACATGATTAATGTGCGTTCCACTAGCATAATTATTTAAAGTCACGTATATTACTTCAGGAATATTTGTAGAAGGGTTGGCTATGACAATGCCGTGCAACATAGCGCCGAATCCTCTTAAGGAATCTTGATAATCAACCAAGTAATTACCTGTAGCCAGATACTCTCTATCTGGTTCCCGGAGTACACGGCTGAATTGGGCTGCGATTTTGCTTCTGTAAATATTCAGTAGCAACAATTAGAAATACACGTAAAAATGTTAAATAAATTGTTAACATTAAATGAACTAATCAGAAATTTGATAATGAATAAGGGAACAACGTCAATATCATTCAAGAAACGTAAATTAAGTAAAGATAGTGCGCTAGACTCATATGAGTACATAACGATATAAAAATTAATATTCAGTTAATTAGTTCTTTCGCTCTGGTAAATTGTATATGTATATTTACATGCGCTTATAACAAGGGTACGTGGTGCGTTCTATAGACTTCAGCATCGTATAAAAATAATTGTACAAGTGTTGACTGGGCTCGTTTTGCATGTACCAATATAGAGATATCAATCTGTTGGATGTAGGGCTAGAAACAATAAGCAAAGTTAACGCAGCGACTCTCATTTCCAAATGCTCGGTTCTATTGAGCAAGATTGGCCAATACACAGGATAAATCTGCAAAATAAAATTATTATATGTAATTAAATGTGGCATGTGATGTTCAACACTTGATCCGTATAAAATCTATAAGAAGGATCGCTTACAACATCGGGCCTCAATGGTGCTGTGGGAATAGAGGCCCAAGCTGCTAGTACTCGAAAATGTCGTGATTCAGCATTATTGCCGCTAGCTATAGGCTCTAAGAACTCAACAACTCTACCCAGCTGTATATTTGCCAAACCTTCCAACCAGACCATCTTCTGCTCGTACTGGATAGTTTCTGTAACATGGATCGAATAGTATAGTCCTATCCATAAATCTCAACAAAATAGATACACGATATAAATCGTTAAGTGTACCTGTAAATTTATTGAGGTACCGACGTACGTAATCATCTAACATTTCATACGGACAAGAAACTAGACAAGTTTTGTATATTAATGTTCCGTAGGTCAGAATCGCGGTATTTTGCACCTTCGTGGAGATTTTCCTTGGGAGGGTAAGAAGCGGTTCGAGGCTGGCCAGCAGTTGAACATCGAGTTTTCTTACGTGAAATGGTAGCCGCATAAGTAATTGAATCGCAGATATGTCGGATACTTTGTTACTCTGAATAAGATCCAATATAAAAAGCGCAGATTCTTCACTTCCAACTTGTGGCAGCGCTTCGAGAAACATGTTTCTGTTATGATAAAACAAAGGAATGAATATAATTAAGAATAAAAATAAGGATAGTAATATAACAAGAGATAATTATCGTATAAATACCGTATCGTTTCCTCTTTATAACTAGTTCCCGAGATTCGAGTGTAGGCTTTTCCTAGATCAACGCGATCTAACATACCGAGATAATAGAGAAGCACGGATATCGTTGTGTTGTGCAGATTATGAATCTCGGTATCCAAACCAGGATTTTCGAGCCTGTGGCTTAAACGATCTAATAAACGACTTATCTACAACAAAGTTGATCAAGATTTGCCTGGAACAACAAAACGGGCGAAGAGAAAGTAAAAATAATAAGCTTACAGATTTAAAAATAAAACTTTTATCCGGTGTGCCTCTACCCTGTGTGAGATCCGCTTCTGGTAACTCATGTTGAAGGACTGTAGTTTGTAAATTATTCGTAACTATCTTATTTGCTGTATCCCTCACTGAAGATAACTTAATATTTTGTCTGTAGAATAAAGTAGTTTTTGTACATTTGCTCATTTTAAATAATGATAAAATAATACAAGTACGTATATATATATACGCATATATATGTGTGAAACATACTGAACCAAATTATAGTGCGCCTCTCCCATACTTTGAAAAGGTTGCACGTAGATGCTTCCAGATGCATTAACGGAGATGATTTCGTGAATGAATCCATCGGTTTTTAATCGATATACTCTCTCGCTACTTTTCAAGATGGGATTCTAGGAATTATATAACATAGTAGTATTACACACATTAGTTATAACATAGAATAATTCGATAAATTATTAACTAAATAAATAGCTAGATCATCAGTGACAACGTACTTGATCCTCATCAGTGCATTGTACTTTAGGAACGTTCGACCAATTGCGACTTGGATGCCCAATACATATCCGAGGATCTAACGATTTCATTATTAAACGCTGAGTTTCGCCTTCAGGGCTTACAACGTAATCAATATCACATTTTCCATAATGATTTATCTGTGAATTATATATTATGATTTCTGTATATTATATAATGTCTTTCAACGCTTTTGCAGAATATATATTAATATATTATAGTTATTATATATTGTATATATATATATATATATATATATATATATATTCACTACGTGCGTGTCTACAAATATTCATAGCTTACTTCGGTAGAATGAAATGCGCTCTCCTTTTCCAGATTAAAAAGATCTAATTGTAAAATTCCAGCTATGCTCCGTTTTATATTCGTCGCCCATGCAGGTTCAGCTTCGGTGCTAAAGTTTTCGATGAGTCCTTTGTTGTACGATAAACGAAAAGGTTTCAAAAGTTCTAAAGCGTCATCATAGATATCGATACCTTCTACTACCTCTTTTACATCTCCATTATACATGTTCATCTTCAATGATTGCAACTGATAAAGAACATTGAGATATTACATCAAAAATTGTAATATAATGAAATTTTGTTATTAAAAGATTATGTATTACGTAGTTCTTATGGTGAGAAAAAAATAAAACAGTGAAAAGAAGCAAAGAAGATTACAGCTATCTTAAAAATACCTGTACTGTGACATAGTTATCTTCCGCCTGAATTACGAGTTTTCCATTGAGATTCCATGAAGAAGCTGCGTTGGAAGGCACCAGCACACCAGTGCTCGACGTGGCGTTGTAAGAATATACATATTCTTTTCCAGATCTGAATAAACTTTGCGCAATTATCTCAGTACTTAAAAGTAAGAATATGAATAATGTTCTTCCTATTCTTTGTGCTAGCCTAGGTACTAAAATAGAATCTGGAAAAGAAAGACTTTTTTTCATTTTTGTACATTTGACTCATTATTTTCTACTCTTCTTCAATCCTTCACGTTTTCACAATTATTGGAAACTTTTACAAGATATATTAAAAACGAAAGAAAATGTGGACTGGTATTTGTTTTGTTATTAGTAATATATTATTAAGATTGCAGCGACCGTATAATCGTTTTTTTTTTATTTTATCGAAATATTTTAATATATGTACCTGTGAACCTCATGATGTATGATCGTAGCTCAGCGAAAGCAAACTGAGTTCACAAGTCAAGGAATGACCCTTACCAGTTCTTATCATTCTGACCCACGAATACAAACACAGTTGCTTGCGCGTATATATATACAGGACTTATACTCTCGGCGCATTATCTTCAATCATATAGATCGCACGTGTATTATATTATCGCTGACCCTTTTTCTCACAATACTCAAGCATATAAAATATATACACATATCTATTAATTTACGCGTAACGCTTGCTATAAATCAAAGCATGTGCAGAAAAATAATCAATTTTTCAATTATGCACAGTAAAAATTAATAATTTACGAATACGTATGTATAACGACTTCAAGTAACAAGAGTTCAAAAACATTTAAAATGTAAGGAATATTTTTTTCTAGAAGACTATATAAAGAGGTGTTTAATTAATATATACGTAATTTTTCTTTTCTTTTTTTCATAGTTATTTCATTATCGCTATCGTGAATAAAAGACGAAAAAAATTCGGATTATTTTACGCTATATAAATGCTTCATTACCTGTATTAGTTTGAGAAAAATAAATAAAATAGAAAAGTATGCGTTTGTTGCACGATATATTGTCTTTGTACGTATTATAAATTTAGTCAAATTACATATTTTAGAGATTAAAATATTTTCTTTACAGCCACAACATAGAAATGCATTTTAATTAGTTTTGTTACAGGATATACATGCGATATATGTATATGCATTATCATTTCTATTATATGGATCTAATATTCTTAGCAATTATAACTGTAATTTTTTAAAGACAAGGCTCGAATATTTACGAGTATGCTATTTACAGATTTATTTTTCGCTTATTTATTATGTACAATCGGGAAGTGTATCATGTCGTGAGTTGTCATTTAGTTTATTACTATATAAAATGATATATCTTCATATATTATACATTATATATTTGACAATTTACTGTGATGCATCATGTACAGAATCCTATTGTACGTTATATGTATAAAATCTATCAACAGGCATGTTGGTACTAAAGCAAGAAATTTGATAAAATATTACTAACATACGTATTATGATCAACACATTATAAGGGCTTGATTATTTTCAGGATAGACTTGGCGTATTCCCAGGCTTCACTGTAACATACAAATTTTATTTTAGATGCGTTCATACGTTTTGCGCGATTCACAACATAAACAAAGAGCGTTTCGCTAATCGCGACTAATATTATTAATAGATACTTACTTGTGTGCAGGGTTTGCTTGATCTAACTGTTCGCTAAGTTGTTGAATAAGTGTGGCGAACATTTTGAGGTGTTCAATAGTTTCTCCTTGTAACCATGCCCTTGGTAGCGTACTCATAATCTAACATACATTGATAAACATTTTATTTATTGCAACCGAATAAAATTTAAAGCGCTAAACATTTTTTCCGCAATTGTAATTATCGATGTAAAAGGGTGTCTAGCCGTAGCGGTCATGGAAACCTGGAGGATTTCCATGACCGCTATATACTTCTTTAAATAAAAAAAAGACAGAAAATGTCATTTTTTAAAGATTTTAACGAAATTCCAGAAAAGTCACAAAATTCCATGACTTTTCCATGACATTTTCTGTCCTTTTTTATCTAAAGAAGTGTATAGCGGTCATGGAAATCTTCCAGGTTTCCATGACCGCTAAACACTCTGTGTAATATACATTTATTACATTTTAATGTTAAACATAACGTACCATATTTGCTTTGAATAAAGCATCAGTTGAACAGGAAACTCGTAATCCAGCAAGCAGATAACGATTCAAAAGCGAACCAAGAGCCAAATTTTTTAATTGTACGTCCCCAAGAAGACCTTGCCAACTTAATAAATTCCGCAATAATTTGACAGCCATCGCAAATTGTCTTTGAAAGAATTGATGTCTCGTATCCCAAACTCTGAAATGTTAACTTGTGTTAAAAATAGCGAAAGAATAACATAACTATATATCAACTTAATTATATACTGAGTGTACTGACTGTTTTGGGAAAATAGGTATGAAAACATCATTTTCAATAGCAGCCTTAATTTTATCTAAAATAGCGTTGAATAAAGTTTCCAATTGTTTGCTGGTGTCATTCAAATTAGGATATTCCTTAATCAATCGATTTATAGTTCCTACGAGACGTAATGTCTGGGACGTTGACATTGGATCCCATATTTTTTCGATAATAGCTAAAAAATATCAATGTTAAATATATAGTATTATTTTATTATTTTACTGTTAGCTTTCATATTTATATTGCTTCATAAATAGCAATATAAACTATAAAAGATAATATAATCCTGGCACTCTTACATGTCAATTTTGGTATAACAATTTTTTCAATTGTCGATGGTATCAATCTAACATCTGGATCTCGTTTCAATGACTCCTCTGTTTCTTTACTATTTAAAGCGTACAGAAGCAACGTATTATACCATTTTGTCCTCTCTAAATCAGCACTTTCCTGTAAAAATAATTAGATATTAATTACAAGTGTGACAAATGTAAGTTCTCTTTGTTGTTGAAAAGAGTAAATAAAATACCATAATTGGGTTCCAAGTAACCAGTTGTAATCTGATAATGGGCGAAATAATTTTAGGTAAACACAACGATACATAAGCTTCTGTATAGGCGTCCATATCTGTTTCTCTCCATGATTCGAATTTTGAAAGGATACCACGTACTGTACAATACTCCTCCATAACGTCAGAAAATACATCTTTACAATTATTATCGATTTCATCTGTAATAAAACGTGAAAATGTTATGTAATTATAAAAAATTATATATCTAATAAAAACATAAATAAAAATGTTAAGAATCAAAATACAAAATCAACACTATTACCTTTCGCTTGCTTAAATACAAGATTCTGTTGCTCAGTGACTTCATCGTCACTAGACATTCCATCAATATGCTTTGGCAAATTTGAAGCTAATTCTCTTGCTCTTCTGCGACGGGCTCTTCTACCCTCTCTCTCTGCAGCTCGTCGTACGTGTACTTCCACTTCCGGTCCTCTTCTCATGGCTTGTCCTCCTGCAAGACGAAAAAGATTATAGAATGTGTTGCGGAATCTTTTGGTGAAATATCTGGAGCATAAGGTTATCATGTGCCCCCAAAATACCAAGCTCTATCAGTTATGTACACTGGTTGAAATATACTGACTTGCTGCGGTAGTTATTTCTTCAGCCTGATCTCTAGTGTCTTGTCGTCTTCGTTCCATTAATTCGGTTGAACGTTCGCCATACAGATCTAACCAGCGTTGTTCCAAATCGATGACCAGGGGAAACTAACAAAAGACGTATACATTTAAATTGATTCAATGAACATGTTCTATTACTTAAAATTGATGATGTCTAAACTTAATAATTTTATGATATAATGCTCAAAAAGCATTAATTTGCTTGTTAATCGACAGCTTCATAAATCACTTAAAAAATTCTTTAATGTATTATTTATACATTGAAAATATAGATTAGACATCAGTTTACTTACCAAATTAATTAATTAATCACTTGTATATGATATTTATCTTTATAAAATATGTATAAAAATAACATAATACAGAGAAGATAATGACCCCTGGCAATAGAGACATGTGTATGTGCTATATATGCAATACACATTATTTTTATTTCAAGTCCATTATTTAAAAAAATTTTGTCACTCCCTTATTTACCAAAACTCATGTAAACAAATTATGAAAATCGCACTAGTAAAATTAAATTTGCAAATTTTAATTTCAACTGGATCTATAATTTAGGCTGAAATGGAGTCATAATATACTATATATTTGCATAATATATGAGAATTGATCTGGATAAGTCAAAAGAGTCATTATATAACAAATTCAGATACCAAAATTTAAAATGAGGTTCATTAAGGTCGTTGGTGCTTTACTGGGACTGAAGAACTTTTTGTCAGCCACATACTGTACGATAAAACCCAGTGCACATAAATCTAACGTGACAGCGTATCAACCCACCTTCTCATCAAGACACTCTACCAAGTCAGTGACATACCCACGCAACTCTTGGTAATATCTGAAGCGTTGTGCGTAATGCGGCGTACGAACTTCGCTTTCGTCCAATTCTTTCATGGTTTGCTGTAATTCTCCCTCTAAACGTTCCTGATCTTGCCGATGTCGTCTATGTACCTCTTTTAAGTTATCCAACCTTTAAATAAAAGTACATTTGTATTAATCGGCTTTCATTAATTTTTCTATTATATGTAAAGTCTGAAATATGTTTGGAGAAATATAAAACCTTGTGCGCATTCTGTTCACAACTTCTTGTGGTGTAACAGGTACAATTTTTGTTGGATCTGGTGGTTGAATGGACGGTGGCGGTGGCGGTGCAGGCATTAATACCATTTCTAAAGGTACACCAGACCCTATCATCTGATTAACATTCATACCCATTGTGTATTGTTGTTGCAACATTGAATCCTGCTGTGCTGCTGCAATCTGCATATCGAAAGACTCAAGACATTTAATATCGCTTTACGTACATATATCTTATCTTAAATCTTAATAAACTGCGCTTTTACCTGAGCACCCGTTACACCTTTCCGTATTTGTTGAGCTTCCCACTCCTCTTCTTCGTTCTCGTGTTCACTTTCATTATCTGAAACTAAATTAAAAAAGTTCCAAATTATGTTGTTTTTCATCTTAAAAAGGCATTTAATGCCTTAAAATTAATTATTATATATAAAAATTTACATTTTAACGGAACTTGAGAAGCAAGAAATGCTTCTCTTCTCTTTTCTTTATCACGCGCTTCAGTGTTGACAGTCATATCTAATCGATCTTGAGAATCATCATCATCACTTCGATCATGATCTTCCTCCCGTATTAGTCTTGACTTGCCCTTATCATCGCTATAAAAATAAATGCATTAAATTAATTTTATATAATAATATTAGTAAATATATTAACAAGCATAACACAATAGAAGAGAAAATTTATGAATCGTCTATTTATTGTATCATTTTAAATTACCTCTGCTCTTCAATAGGAATGTAATCGGTTCCCAATTCTCTTGCTTTTTGTCTGCGTTTTCT